ATAGCATTTCGGTTGCAAGAAATGACTAGAGAAATAGCAAAAGAACCTGTTATGTACCAAAATGTTAAGGTTTCACCCAAGCATCAATCCCGATCATGAATTGGTCCAAAAGAAAGATTTAAAGCTGTGCAAACATGCCAACAAACAAAATTTACATAAATGAATGAAATACAACGGCTCATGGCCTCATACATGTCAATTACAAAAATTTCACATGCCAAGCCTCCAAAGTTCGTAAAATTACTTTCAAAAGTAAAACATGGCACCAAAAGAGTATAAGTATTAACTAAAACATGCTTGGCCCTTGGCCTCATTACATACGTGATAAAAAATATCAAAATAAAGTACTTAGGTACTTTTACACAACCAAAAAGGACGCTAGTGCATGTTTCCATACAAGTTTACATTACATCAAAAATATGAATAAAACAAAACATGCTAACACTTGCATGATAATTATACACAAAAGTGATCCAAATTGCTATAAAGCCACTTAAATCATACCAAGTCATGTACTAAAAGCTTTAAACACTTAAGCACATAAGCACGTAAACAGGTGAACACATCAAAACATGTCACCAAGAAGTATGAAATGAACCCAAGAAAACCCGTCGTCCTAAGGTTTTCGAATCTCAAGCTCTGATACCACTCAATGGCGCATCGGGTTCTTTAAAATTTGGGCTGTCACAATGGATCATGCAACCGCATTTTCTATGGGATTTATATTGCAATTAGGGTTTTTTGTTGGTCCATACTTTTTGAAATGCAGGCCTGATTTTCATAAAAAAATATTTCACTAGACTTAGAAGTCTTGAGATACAGAAGAATAGGCTATTCTTTTTTTAAAATTACGTTGGCCAAGGGATGTTGAAGCTGCATAGATTATTTGCGTTGTACCTACTATGATAAACCAAGGAGAAAATATAGAATGAGCGTGCGGTAATAATTTCATATTGATCTGAACCAATCCATATGCTCCTATTTTTAATAAGATTCTAGCTAAAAGCATACAGGTACTATAATGTGCTTCTCCATGGGTATCTGGTAACCATGTATGTAGGGGTATAATCGGTGATTTGACAGCAAACGCAATAAAAAACCCGATATAGAATATTATTTCCAATGCCACAGGATACGATTGATTGGCCGATGTTTCAAAATTTAATGCTGGTTCATTAGAACCATATAAACCGACACCCAGAACTCCCATTAAGAGAAAAATGGAACCCCCCGCAGTGTACAAAATAAATTTTGTAGCTGAATAGAGACGTTTTTTTCCTCCCCATTAAGGATTTTGATGTGTACCATTGAAAATAAACAATTGAAATCAAATATTATAATTGTGTAGTTATTATCGATATCTCATTACTTGCCAATGTCTTGAATGGAAAACATAGTATTTGCATAGTCTTATCTTATTGCTTTTTCTTTTGCAGGCCTTGGCACCTGAAAGATATGTCTCTATTTTGTTTGATCTGGTTAGTACTGTACCAACTTCATGCTGGTTCTCCAATGTCTCTGAGAGTGATATTGGAAAACATCTTGTGGTGTATTAGATGGGTTGATCATGCGAGTGAGGCTGAAAAATAAATTGATTTATATGGAATGCTTTCCAATATCACTCTCGAAGACATTGAAGAACTGACTTAAAAGTTGATACAGTACCAACCAGATCAAACAAAACAGAGACATGCCTTTCGGGTGCCAAAGCCTGCAATAGAGAAGCAATAAGATAAGACTGTGTAGATACTATGTTTTCCATTCAAGACTTTGGCAAGTAATGAGATATTGATAATAACTACACATATATAACCTTTGCTTTCAATTGCTTATTCTCAATGGTACACAGCAAAATTCTTAATAGTCCAAGACTTTCAGGTTAGTGAAATATTTCTTATGAAAATCGGGCCTGCATTTCAACAAGTTAGGTACTAACAAAAAACCCTAATTACAATATAAATCCTAAGGAAAAGAGGGTTGCATGATCCATTCAACAAACAAAATAATTACAATAAATGAAACACAATCCCAATTGAAATTATAAGAAAAAGTTCTATGGAAGAAAAACAGGGACTAACAGTAAAATAAATTGAAATAAAATTACATTTACAATACAAAACTAAGTATCCATATATAAAACGAACTCTAAATAACTAAACAAATCCAATTATTAGATTCCAATTATTAAAATTTTACTTCTTTTGGTAACTCCAGATAACTTCCTTATGTAATAAGAAAAAAAAAATCCACTCCCTTGTTACCAAATAGAAATAAATAAAGGCATTAATAAAATCACATGGGAAACAAGAATTAAAACAATATAAATTTGGTTAAAAGATATTTTCATAAAGAATAAAAATATAAGTAAAGGTCTTTCATAAAAAGAAATAAAAGAAAAACAGAGAGAAATTGGAAATTATTGACCACTACTTCATAAAACACTACTTATAAATCAATAGTGAAAATCGTAAAAGCACAATCTAGAAATGTTACCAAAATGAGAACACGTAATGACTTTCTACCGATGAAGAGCTCCATTGCAACTGAAAAGCCTACTGTATAGAGGTCTATAACACCTAAACATTTTCACCCAGATGTCGTAACTAAATACATTAGTCATTCCACTCTGATATAGCTACTTAGTTGCCCTAATAATTCAGAGAGAGGGTTGTCCGAACCCTAGGATTGAGGAAAGTTACATAACAATAGATTTGGGCTTCCACATTTGGGCCAATGACCTACATTATCTCACAACATGTAAAACCAATTGCAGCCAGTTTGGAACCCAAAATATTAAAACAAATAATTCTATGAAAATAATTTTTGGACCCTTTTTGGGCCTGTTTTACAACAGCTTCTGCTTTACCCAAACAAGACCCTTAATAAGTGAGTTATATTTTTTAAAATAATTAACCAATAGTAATCTTCCAAGCTAAGAGCATTTCCAACCAATATGTCAAATCAAGTCAAATCCCCCGTGGCATATGCAACACGGCTACTTTTGACATCAAGAACTCATCCAACCAAAACCTAAAATACCTACTTGGCATTTGGCATACCGTCAAATTTGGAATATCAGAAAATAGTATGCCAAATGAAATTTTCCTGTTATATTGTTGGAAACGGAGCATACAAAACATAAACTTTGGGCAAAATTTAAAGTCTTGCAGATCTATAGACGAACGCGTTCCTCTCTGCAAAGAGATAAACGTACTATATTTACTTTCTCAAATCTATTTCCGGGTGAATGAGAAATTAGCTATAAATTAAGATGTTTGATAAGCTTAAATGGGTAAGCAAAATGTGGGAATTGCTTATCCCACATTGAAAATATGATAAAACCAATTGGAGTTTAAATAAGCCAAATTTGAAATTCATGTTTGGGCCCAAGGGCACCCAAGTTTTTAAGACGGGGAGGACTTAGGCAAGTTTGGGTCCAACCATTTACCACACACGAGCATGCCCGACCCGACTCTATCCGGGCCCCGATTTGGGATTAGGCTTAATTGTAAAATTATAGGGCCTTGTGTTTGGTTTAATTTTATTTTGGGATGCAATTACTCTAGTGAGCTTCACGAACTAGGCCTTTGTTTTTTGGGCTGGAATTAATCTAGTGGGCTTCATGAATGGTTGTATCTATTCCGAACCAGTGCATCCAAGGGTTACAATTGGGGTGAACCATTGCACCTGTTACGACCCTGGGCAATATCTCTGTAACCCGCATCTCAACATCTTCAGGCATAGAAACATGCCCTATAACCTGGGACATGTGGTCCATGTATTTGCCATTACTGTCAACGAAGAAGATACCAATCCTACCTATGTCTGCCTGAAGATTGCTTTTTCTAAATATAAAAATTACAGAGATTTTGAAATCATTTCATACTGTGGCAACGTTCTGATTTTCTAATTTTCGGGCGTCCCAAAATTTTCGGATTTGGGCTATTCAAATTACAATTTTGTCCGAGCTTGGATTGAAAATTAAGAACTCGATTTCATTTTAGGTCGGGACGAGTTTATATGTCGGGTATCCGAAGCCCAAATTAAGCATGTCCCTAATTACAAAACCTTACGAACACACAATATGAACTCAATACATATATATCAATTATTATTATTTTATTTTTATTCATTTGTTATTTATGTCATGCCAATATCTTCAATTATTTCATTGAAAATCATTTGTTATTACATGAACCCGAATTATAACATGAGTTGAAATTTACTTCAATCTTATATTTAAGTTCATGTTGCAACCTCAAATTCAACCCGAGCTTTTAAAAAATAAGGATGGGTTGGTCTCATATTTATGGTCGGGTTAGGGCTGATGATCTCATACCTCAAGTTGAACCTCCAATCCACTCGAATTGCACTAAGGGTGTGAAATGGGATGTAGCACCCCTTTTCCAAACCCGTCCCACCAACAATCTTGGTTCGGAACACCCTGCATTGGAGTCGAAACAGGTTAAGGGCGTCCCGAGATACATATTTTTTAAGAAAAATAATTATTAAAATTTGAACAAATTTAAGATAAAATTTATACATTTAAAAAAAAAATTTATATTCACATATTTATTAATCATAATAATAAAAATGTTGTTAATATGTAAAATTATCATAAAAAAAAAGTAAAAAAGAAAAATTATAACTAATAAATATTTATAAATTAATATTAATTATTAATCGAAGCGGACAAGACGGGCTAAACCCTAAGTTGCACCCTAGATCAAATTTCAAACACACTACCCGAACCGGCCGGCCCGTTGCTAATAACAGTATGCATAAACGAACTGCTTAAACAACACATTTTTAATTCTAATACTGTAACAGTTTGGATAAACAAACGATCTGCTTAAACGACAGCATTTTGACCGCAAAGGCAACTTTTTGATAGGAAATACCTTTTTCAAACTTCCATCCAATGAGAGGCTTACATGTGGCTCTTCACGAATGTCAGTTGACCACCTCATCAAGAAAGCTCTCGTCCTATCCCTTCGCAGGAGAGAGAAAAAAACTAGAGAGGGGAGAGAGGCCAGAGGAAGTAGAGAAAGAAAGAGAGAGGGTTTGAAGGTTATCCACACTGCAAGAAGTTTCTTCGCTTTCTCTGCATTTTCAATTTCCAAGTGTCAAAGCACAGTAATGGCTAGAAAGTTGAGGCTTTGAAGAAGAGTTGGAACAATAGTACAATGGAGTGTATAGGAGCTCGAAACCTCGCAGCAATGGCGGTCTCCACATGGCCCACTTGGAGGTCACGGAGTCAGAGACTGAGAAACAAAAAATGCCGTTCATTACATAGATATAGTTTGTGTATATCGTCTCTACATGTAAGCTCTGGTGCAGGAAGCGAGAGTTGTGTGGTCGTTAAGGAAAATTTCGCCGACGAAGAAGACTATATCAAGGCCGGTGGGTCTGAACTTCTTTATGTGCAAATGCAGCAGAACAAGGACATGGATATACAGTCCAAGCTCTCCGACAAGGTCTATTTATTGTCTGATTATCTGTTTATACGCTTGTGTATTTATACGTGTGTATTTTTTTTTCCTGAATTATATATGTATGTATATTGCTTGATTATCTGTTTATACGCTGTTATATGGCACTAGGTATCGATGTTTTATTTAATAAAAAAATGTGAGTAAAAGACTGAAGAACATAATTTTTTTGGCACATTGATCTATTTTTGTTTTTTTGTTAATTTTGATAAGTGTGTATAGTGATGGAAATCGCATGAGAACATTGAAAAAAATATTTCAGAAGTTTCAATTCTCAGAGCAAGTAAATGCCATATGAAGTTGGGAAGTTTAGGGACTTTATTGAAATCATAAAATTGCTAACATTTTGGTATGATTATCCTTTTTTTTTCTTTTTTTTTTTTAAATACTATTGCTTTCATTTTGCCTTTCAGCTCAGTCGTAGCATCCTTTTAGCTTTAACTTCATTGAATTTCTAAATAATAGCATTTAGGGAAAAAAAAATATAAATAAAGCTTTTTTTTTTGCTATATCATTTAGGTTAACAACCATTTTCTCTAAAAACTTAAGCTGTTCAATAGGGTCTAACTTTAATATTTAAATAATTGAACACGCCCTAGCCTATAATTAAGCCTAAACATATGTGACAAAAGATGCAAGTATACAAGCTAATATCAAGCCTAAATCTAAGGGGACTGTTAACACATTATTAGATTGATCCTTATTACTTTTACTTCTTTTCCTCTCTCCGTGTATATACACATATATTGTACAATCAGTCGTTGAGAATATTATGAGGATCATAGTACTCTGCCGTTCATGCAATAGATTACAGTGATTACTGTACTATGGCAAGTTGTTTTCTTTATGGAATCATTATATTATTAATTGCCCTTTCAGTTACCACAAATATCTACCGGAGACACTACACTGGATTTGGTGGTGATTGGTTGTGGCCCAGCTGGTCTTGCGCTTGCTGCAGAATCTGCTAAGTTAGGTTTGAATGTTGGACTTATTGGGCCAGATCTCCCTTTCACAAATAATTATGGTGTGTGGGAGGATGAATTCAGAGGTATTGATTTTTCAGTTGGAGAACCATTATAATGTATTAATTAATTAATTAATTTATATGCTATTTGAGTTTTACATGTTCAGTTCTATGTTAGCTAACATCAGGAAACACAATGTGATATGTGGCTCAATGCCCTTTTTTTTTTTGGGGGGGGGGGGAGGGGAGATAGATGTAGCTTGCAAACTATAATTGTAGTGTTGTTATTTGATGGTTATTCTCATGCCAAAATCATGACATTTATAATTGTAGTGTTGTTATTTGATGGTTATTCTTAAGCCAAAATCACGACGCTCTTTTTCGCTTTGCAGAGAAATGCTCTTCTCAATCTTGTATTTATATGTCTTTTTCAGGAGTGCTTTCATTTTTGCCAACCATTCCCTTCATATTTTCCTTCATAGCAACTTGCTTAGGTGACTGTATTGTAGCTTATCTAATTACAAAGTTCATTAATTGTCATTAAGCGATGTAGCACTTGTTCTATGAACAATGGAGAGGCCATTGTTTTCCATTTTTTTTTATTTTATATTTTAAATATTGAGTATGTGAAACTATAAATCTGATGAAACAATAAACTCTGTATGGCTCAGTTTATATTTGTAATCAATTACATATATATTGGAGAATAGTTAGAATCAAACCCAAACTCCATTCTTGCATTTTCTGTTGTCATTCCATTGTTTAAGGTTTTCCATGAAGTTGGATAATTTATCAGCCTTTTGATATACTCTGGTATTGTTTGCCTTTTTATCCAAAGTGAAGATTATTCTGCATATTTTCAGATCTTGGACTTGAAGGGTGTATTGAACATGTTTGGCGGGATACCATTGTATATCTTGATGACGATGATCCCATACTGATTGGTCGTGCTTATGGACGAGTTAGTCGACATATGCTCCATGAGGAGCTGTTGAAAAGGTAAGATTACCAATACAAGATTGGCTTACTTTCTTTAACTTAACTGCTATATTGTTGGTGTTGTTCTTGTTCTCATTATGTGTTCCACAAGAATTTATGACCAACTCGTGTCTGTTGGTATGTTAAAGAATATATAATTCATATTAATTTTTCCTAGGTGTGTCGAGTCAGGTGTTTCATATCTTAGCTCTAAAGTGGAAAGGATTGTTGAAGCTACAAATGGTCAGAGTCTCATAGAGTGTGAACACAATATTGTTATTCCCTGCAGGTACAATGCGATTTCTTCATATATAGTAATAATTTTCACAATATAAATATAGTACTGTAATCATTATCCACTCCAAGCCTTAATGTTTTATTATAGGCTTGCTACGGTTGCATCTGGAGCAGCTTCAGGGAAACTCTTGCAGTATGAGGTGGGGGGTCCCAGGGTCTCTGTCCAAACAGCTTACGGGGTGGAGGTCGAGGTAGGAATGGAGGCTATTATCTGTTTTAAATTAGTATATAATTTCAAGTTTTTGACGTAGGTTTTTCGCATCATACACTCTATTAGATATATAAAGACAGTCCTTTCCAGCTTTTATTGTGAGATATAAACAAGAATAAGTCCAATTGTTATGTTTTGCTGCAGTGAGTACTCTAGTCCATGCCCTTTCTCCTTATCTGCCTATTTCTTAAAGTAATCATAATATAATCTTAATTTTATATTTTTCCAATTTAACTGGAACTGCCATCTGTATGAGTACACCATACTTAATGGTTGCATTATGGATATCATGGATAAGAATGTTCACATCTTTTCAAAATTGTGATTATATTTTTTGACACGTGCATTCATTTTAAGTAATCTAATCAATTCCAAATTCTGCAGGGTGCCTTTGTGTTGAACATTTGTGGTAAACTTAGTTTTGTCTATTACTGATAAAATACATACACATACATATGGTTAAATCTATGATCCATCCAAATAAAGGGCAGGGGAAGAAAATTGGAAATTTTTTAAAATCCATTCTGAATAGAACTAGCCTAAAAATAAGTATGATGTTTTGTAGAACGTCACTGGACAGTGGATACACACGAGGGAATAGCCATTCCCAATCCATATCACCCCCATCCGAACAAATCCCACGTTCAACTTGAATCTTGCACTTTACCTAATGGAGGAGCAAGATATACCACCAGAGGTAAAATCTGGTGGTCTAAAATCGGAACTAGCATTACCTATTCTATCCTCCCAACACGTAAATGGAAGATTATGAAGTAAAATTTTCATCTGTTAACTAATTTCAGGTGGAAAACAATCCATATGACCCTAGCTTGATGGTTTTTATGGACTATAGAGACTTTGCCAAACAAAAAAGTCAAAGCTTAGAAGCACAATATCCAACATTTCTCTATGCCATGCCTATGTCTCCCACAAGAGTCTTCTTTGAGGTTTGCTCTATGAATTTAGTTAGACATATCATTGCTTTAATTGTTAGAGTTATGTGATATATTTAGATTTCAGTGAACTTTACTGCAGGAAACTTGTTTGGCTTCAAAGGATGCAATGCCTTTTGATCTGCTAAAGAAAAAACTCATGTCAAGATTAGAGACAATGGGAATTCAGGTTATAAAAACTTATGAAGAGGTAATTTTCTTAGGTCCTCCCTCAGTGTACTTCTGGAACTTCTGCTGACCCTAGCAGAAATGATATTCTTTGCTCGCTTAAAAAATGAAGTCTTAACTCTTCAATTTTCTAAGCAGGAGTGGTCTTATATTCCAGTTGGTGGATCATTACCAAATACAGAGCAAAAGAATCTTGCATTTGGCGCTGCTGCTAGCATGGTGCATCCAGCCACAGGTAAGAAAACTTAATCCATGTTTACTTTGACTTTTTGAACTAAATTGTCCCAATTATCATTTACCTTCATCAAACAGGCTATTCAGTTGTGAGATCATTGTCAGAGGCTCCAAAATATGCACATGTAATTGCAAATATTTTAAAGGGAAGCCATTCCAAGGACATGCTTACTCGAACTAGGAGCACTGAAAATATCTCGACACAAGGTACATGAGGTGATTGCTTAATACAATAATTTTTTGTTCCATCATTAGTACCAAACAACCTTCATTAAATATTACCCGCATCATACTTTCAGCAGTTCAGATGTTGAAATTTCCATGTGTGTATATATATAATCATGTTTATTTGTAAGTATAGTGTATAAGGATGTCATTTGTATAAATCTAAAATCAATGCCAATTACTTGTAAGAACTATGATTTGGTAGGTAGGAAGAAGATGGACTTATGATCTGCAAAAACTTACCTGTCTCGTGGCTCATTGTAGAGAATCTTCAAGAGACTAAAATAGGGATGTTTCTTTATTCCCTTTACCATTGCTAATCTCATAGTAGATTGCCTTTAATTGATGGGGGTTGTGAGAGGATGGGACCGCCCTTTTATTCATGGAACCCCATTAATGGACTAGAATAGTCTCACATTAGATTCTATACCCACACCAAAGCTCAGCTAATGATTTTGATTACTGATGCACTAGGAAAAAACTGAGACTAAAGAAGTATGCTTCGCAGCTTTCCTACCTCATGTGAAGTTCATACTTTCTAAAGACAAGAAATGACCACATCTAAATCTGTAGCCTGCAGGTTTACTTTGGTTTAACGTTTATTGACCCTGAAGGATGCGTTGCTTGTAAAGACATTGAAAGGCAAGCAATAATGCCCTTTCCAAGCAATAATGCTGAATATGAGAAGTACAGAGTAAACCAAAGAGAACCTCATTGATTTTTACTTGTAAAAAGTTGAAGCAACCAAGTAACACCTTTCTCAAATTTCATGTGCTCATAATAAGAGAGTGTTAATGGCAGTCCAACTCCTGTGTATTGGAGAGACAAAGACCTTTAATTATCTTATGAACAGAGCAACACGATACAGTTTGTAGTTTGTTTTCTTTGTTCTTAATGACCCGGTTGTGGTTTCTATTTGGTTTGTTATGAGCAGGGGTCACATATATGATTATTCATCTTTCTTTTTTAGTTTTTTGGTTTTTTAAAAAGATGGTAACATTCTTCAGCTCTTCCTTATATGGGCAACCAAGAACTCTAGGAACACTTAAACTCAAGGACTTAAGATGACAAAGGGAGGCCAGTGGCCTAGCGGTATCAGGCCCTTACTTCCCAAAGGGAGGTCAAGGGTTCAAGTCTCAGTGGAGGCATGTGTGTGTGAGTACCAACTATGAAAAAAAAATAAAAATAAAAAAAAGAGATGACAATAGTTCCACCTTAGGGCAAATATTAGACAGATTGAAAAGTTAATATTCATGGCTTGCTTTTGGGCCTTAGTTGGCTATGTCTCTGATAGCTCTCACAGATTTTGACAACTGGAGAGCTAACTTGAGTCTCCATGGGATATCTACAAGCACTTTGTTAACCTGTCAGGGTTGCTCGGATGGCAGGGTCTCAGGGCTACTACCTTGAGATCTCAAGTTTGTGTCCTATTTTATGTGTTTTCCGTGGTTTGTGGGTGATTGTGGATATCCACGGATTACATTATACCCACAAATCCAAAGGGCACCTGGTTGGAACAGTTCCTCATTACAAAAAAAAAAAAAAAAACATTCCGTCCTCCCCCCTCCTACCAATAACTAAACAAATAAGTAAGAGCAAAGAAAAAACACTCTATGATTCTACAAACTGAATAATATTGGCTCCTTATTGGAAACCTGGGATAATTGGTATCAGAAGGATTTGTCTGGGTCACATGGGATTCTTTGTTGCACTTCTCCAATCCTAGTGATTCGTAAACTCTCTTTTCAGTGTCTCTTACTATCCAGTGGGGGCCTAGATAGACTACTGCTTGCACTTTATCTTGTTTGTTGTAAAGTGATGCTACGCAAGCACGCTACAATGAGCTGTTCAAGTATCTTTATGCCATTGAAGTGCACTCTTATCATTACGGATGACCTTTAATTGGTTTAGATTGAGTGAATTATGAAGTAGCTCGGCACATTTGTTGCATCCTTTATGCTCACCTTCCCCTTTATGTGCTCTTCTCTGTGAGACCAAATCCATCCATCTTGTACTATCTTCCCTTCTATTATAAACTTATTTCAAATAATAATGAAAAATAACCTGCACTTGAACTTGGGAGCCGGTTTCATTAGCAGCTATACTGGTTAATCACGCTTAAGAAGTAATGATAATTAAAGAGATGAATTTACTAATTTGTTAATTATGATGCCACAGACTAAAAAGTGAAAGAAAAGTTAAACTATGCTGTGGACACTTAAATATGATTTATCATGTTTTTATATCGTTGGTCGGTAATAATAATAATATGTTTAGATCACAGTGATGCATGGATAGATATGAGATGGACATGTGAAAGGAATTTGCTTTACAGCTTTACAAATATTTATATTCAGGCCAAGCCCTTTTAGCTAATATTTTTATGCATAAACATGCAAATCTGTGTTTGAACTGGGGCACCATTGAATGTACAACTATTCTGTTTCGACACCTATTTTTGGGTCATCATAAAAAGATTGTGAACTTCCTGAAGTTAGAAAATAAAAAATAAAAAATCAAGGGCTCCCTCGATATAGTGGATGTTTTTACCTCCCTGCTCACTATTACATTCTTTTTCATTGATCATTAAATGGAATAATTTGCATGGAACTGTGAATAATAAAATGCAACACATGATGGACTAATATAGTCATTAAGAACTTGTGCTTCTTTTTGAAATTGTGACTTGTGGCTTGCGAATTGCATTTTTCTTTTGTTTCAGCTTGGAACACTCTTTGGCCACAAGAAAGGAAACGGCAGAGGGCATTCTTTCTATTTGGACTGGCTCTCATTCTGCAGCTGGATATCGAGGGCATCAGGACATTCTTTCATACTTTCTTCCGTTTACCTGAGTGGTAAATTCAAAGTTTTGACTTTCTTCCTTTCTCAATTATAGATATCTTCTTCTTGTTCCATAGGCACTGCTTTTCAGATTTTATTGCATGCATTGATGTACTTGAGTATTTTTAAAAAGTACTGTTGTGACTAGGATTTTTTTTGTTTGTCCTTACAGGGGTAGATAATTTTCCTTAGTTCTATATAGAAACATATTTATGAGTAACACATGACACGTGTAGCATCTCAAACTAATTTTCTCATTCTGAAACTATTCTAAGAAAAGCCATAGGATCATATATAACGGTTCCATATGATAAGTCTAAACCACAAAGCTGAGCCCCATGGATGAGTGGCATCACTATCTTCCTCTCTTCTTTTTCCTTTTAAGTATTTTGTTTGATTCAGAAAAATCTGAATAATTTACTAAAGAACAACTAGATTTTGTCCATTTGTAAAAGAAAAGAATACCAAGGAAAAGACAAAATTTTCCACAACCTCAAGAAGTTTCATAAGTTCAGCAAAGACCAAAGTCCAGGCTGCTAAGTGGAACCCCCTAAATACAATCAGGGTACATCACCAGGACGCTACCATCTTAATAGTATGATTCTCTTCCACTGTGATCCTAGACTGGATCCTTAACAACTTCCTTTTCTTTTTTTAAGCCTCCTATTCCTTCTCTCTGGGAGACAAAAAAAAAATCCTGCCCAAAAGATGATTTTTCCACAATATCAGTCCTCTTGGACTCTATCCCCTGCCAAACCATCAACAAGCTCATGCAATGAAGCTGGGTTTTAACATGTAGTAAGGAAAGTAGCCCACCCTGGCTGGTTTATGAGCAATGATTTGATCAGATCTAGTATCCAATTATAGTATCATGGAATTTTGGCTTTCTTGAGTATTGAAGTGATAGCTTAAAGATGTTATAGCAAATGACCATAATTATTTTGATTTCTTCCCAATAATAGTTGTACAGAAAAATACACTTCAAATGTTGCATCACGTGATTCTTTGCAATTAGGCAATCCCAAACTGGGGAATGATTTTTAAATGCAATGCTGAGCCGGTATATTTCTTGATTATGACCAATATCAAATAATTCCTTTTTGTCATACTAGTACAATGATGTAACCTTTCACTGGGACATGCATTTGCATGTGATGGGACCTCGTTTATGGGTAATTAAAACTTGAGTGCGTACATGCAGTCTTCATACTTATTGGAAAGGGGATCGAGCACCGGAAAATTTTTAAGAAATGCAAAAATGGGAAATGAATGAGCTCTATTATTTTACGTAATATTGGAAACTGAGAAAAGTAGGATATGTAGAAGCAAATTGGTACGAAATGGTAGTGGGAGTGGTAGGAAAGCAGAACAAATAAAAATTATGATGAAGTACCTTTCTGTGGTTCAATGTTGCTTCTGTCATGCTATACTTATATTTCTTAAATGTCTTAGTGACATTTCCATTTTTCCCAATCAGATATTTACACTTGAGTTCGGTTTCCAGATTCGTTTATCCCATGCTTGCACAATCACCTTATTCTGGAAATGGCTGGTTTAAGAAGGGAAATTCGCTTTTCCTAGAAATGTTGATGAGAGAGAGTTTTTATGTTAACTTTGCATTGCATCATGGACAAGGATTTTTGTATATGAGCCCAAAATACACAGTTTTGTAGTGCACTTGGGGGTTCAAGAGAAAAGGAGGTGTTTCTTGGTGCATGCAGTGCAAATTATGTTGAATGGTAAAAATCCAATGTGTGGAGCTTTCTTATTCTTTTAGATAGCATCTCTTTGACATGGATACTTAGAATTTAACTCTTTGGCATGTACTTTGAAATAGTTTTGCTTAACATATAAAAGTATGCTAGTAGACATAGTTCAAAAGTACAGAACAATCATTCTACAAGAATAGTGTGTACTGTACAAGAGACATGTTAACTGAGACAAGACAGATGGCATTTTTGTTTGATTTCACTCTGTGTATGCATCAGTACAAACAAAATTTCTAATAAATTATAAATGTGGATGGTTTACTTTGACCAAGCTAAATTAATTGATGGACGTTCTATCCTTGCAGGATGTGGTGGGGTTTTCTTGGCTCTTCTCTTTCCTCGGCTGACCTTGTATTATTTGCCTTCTATATGTTTGTTATAGCACCAAACAACCTGAGATCATGTCTTATCAGGCACCTACTTTCTGATCCTACCGGGGCTATTATGGTAAGAACATATCTCACAATATAATTTGTAGTTTTGGTACTTCTTCCCCATCATGTTATTCCTTCTATGATAATGTTTAACAAAAGCAAGAAGCCCTCCCCCTTTTGAGAAGTATGTATATATAAATTTGTATTTGTGTATTCTGAGATTGATATATGATGGACTTTTTGTTTCCTTATTAAATTTTATGTGCATATCTATCTTGTAAATTTTGTATGTAAACCTGTATAAGATAATGATGCTTTGTATCTGAGCATCCAGGCGGCGGCGTCCTCATTAGCATATTTGCTCTGCATTAGACGAGTGCTACTTTCATTTCCAGTCTTTTACATCATGATGATTCCCTTTAAGGTTTTGCTTATTTTTTCAGTGTGTCCACCTTTAAGTTTTCTTGCAGCCATTGTAACAAGTGAATAAGGTATTATGTTTTCTTTTTCTTTTCTTTTTTTGAAAACAAAGGCGTGCTTATTTTATTATATCTTTTCCCAGTCAGTAAGGTAGGTAAGGCAGTTCTTCACTAGATTTTAGTACATCATTACAAAAAAAATCTATCTTGATATTAAAAATAAATAAAAAACTAAAAAACTATATTTGAGTCCTTAAAATGTATAGAAATCTCAGAAGACCATTTCATTTGCAGCACAGGCAGATTGATAGATTATCTAAATTCCATACAATTCATATGGATCTTTTTTTATACTTTCTGGAAAACATGCTTCACGTCTAGAGTTCACTGGATTTGTTACATCCCAACTTGAATATGACGAAGTAATGACCATCATAATGATGGACTGATGGATACCTACGAGAATCGCCAATATCCTACTCTTTTTTTTTCTTCTTTTTCTGATTTTTGATAGAGTATCCACAATTACTTGAACGGACCTCTAGTTCATGAAGTGCGAGAGTTGTTGAACTACATGTTGTCACATGACCACTAAAGGCCATAGGTTAGTGGCTTCTCATCTACCTTTTATTTTAAAAGTCCGAGTTGTAACGACCTTAGCTGATGCCAAAAATTTTAAACAAAAATTCAGCATAACCTCCCCTAAAAATGGATCTACCACAACCTGTTTAAAAATGTATTTCTAACCTGTCATGGCTCAAATTCCGAATTCACGGCAATAGTAAATGATAATACACAATCAAATGACCTCGATAATATTTCAAACTAGTATTTCCCTCCCCATTCATCAATAAGGTTTACATGATATCAAACTCACATCCAAAATATCATCTAGTAACATAATTATATTACCTAACCATGGTTTTGAAAAATAAATACACATTACTACACTTTTGGGGCCTTACAAAAATGGGAGATATACAAAAGATACAAAATGAGCTCCAAGTCATCCTTAAGCTTGTGGAAGATCGGCATCCACTACCTCCTTACCGGTTCCTGGAAAATGTTAAATAAAATGGGGTGAGCATAAAGCTCAGTAGAGAGTGCCTAAGACGCACCTCTTGTAGCCCCGTGAATCCAAACAAAGCATAGGCCAATAGGAAGAGGGGTCATGCAAAATAAGGGAAACACATATTAAATTCCAATTCCAAACAATCATATGTAAAATGCCATGAATGCTATGATATGCGTGTCACTCCCCATTTCTCAGAAAACAACCATACTTTTCAAACTGTTAATATAACCCGCCCTTTGGTGACCCCGCAACGACACGAGAGGAGGATTGGCTAGTGTCCCTGACCCTTGGTAACCCCGCGGCGTCATTATGGGACCCAGCTAGCTCAACCACGCTAGGGCGACTCCCTAGTCCCCTCTAGGCTATATTAACCTCTGGCCCTTTGGTACCCCCGCGGCGACCGGGTTTCTCAAAAAAAAACTTTTTCAACAAAGCTTTCCCGAAAATCCCCATTCTTTCATTTTTCAAAAGTCATTTCCATACGTGCAATCCCCAATGATGAATTCGTGAATGCCACATACTTTCAATGTTGTAATATAAGGGATTTTTAACATTTGTCATGCCGTGACAATATCATAAAATGGGGAATTTAATACCACAATTTATCACACATGCTCACAACAATCAACTAAATATTTAGCATTATAATAAGCATGATAAATCAACCATTTATCACAATTTCCATACAATCCAACAAATACACATAGATACATGTTTCACATACACAATTAAATCATTTAAGGAGTAATCCATCTAAATTAAGCATGCTTATCACATAAGTCAACAAACACACATATATAAAATCTTTATATGCACCATTAAATCATTTTTAAAGCAATCAACCTTAAATCAAGCATGTTTGGCCAAAATTCTAGAGGAATAACTCACTAAGGTACAAGAAAAGTGTGAATTAGACACCTTTACCTCTAATTGAGCAAAAACCCCAATTTTCTTCACAAACCCTAGAAATGGGTCCTAAGATTCGAACTCCAAGGAGTGCACTAAATCTGAAATCGCTTGTATGGATGTGTAGAGCTTGACACGAGCTTCGTTTTGCCTCAAACGGCACTCAATTTCGATAAGAAATGAGATCAAGATCTTGCTTCAAAGTTTTGGAAATCAAAATGAAAAGAAAAACAGAGAGGAAGAGGGGAAGAGAGAGGCGCACGGGAGAGAAGGAGAGAAATGAGACCATTTGTGGTCTCTTGGCCCTTAGTTAGTTTAATGGTAGGTCCCACCACCTTTTATTTCTTTTTCCTTTAACTTTTTGCTTAAATTTGAGCCATAACACAACATAATACACATATACATACACACAATTATATATACACCTATGCACATAAATATACAGACATTACATTCTCCCCAACTTAAAAGGATTTCGTCCCCGAAATCAAGTCATACCTGGGGAAGAAAACAACTCTAGATACTTGGAGCGAATCTCCTGTTCAAGCTCTCAAGTAGCCTCCTCAACTCCGTGGTGTTTCCAGAGAACTTTCACTAATGGTATCTTCTTGTTCCTCAACACCTTGTCGAGAAGCCTCACAAAACCCAAGACCATGAATTCACCAACTTTATTGCCTTTGACACTAAACATCACCAGGAAATCACATACCACTGCCATCAAAACCAAATGCGGTACCCATCTCTCACCTCATTATGACATCAGACCAACTAGGCTCTACGCCTGACTCAAAACGAACATCAGTTTACTCTACACAGTCAAGAAAGGTTCTAAAATCTGAAAAATGAATAGTCGCCAGACCACCAAATATAACAACGTCCAACCCAACTCATCCTCTAAGGGACACACTAAACCCCAAACAAGAAATCCCATCCATCTCTCAATCCATCTCAACCCTAATCTACACGTCCCTGACAGACTAAACAGTTGTTATCTAATACGTAGCTACCCCATTACATAACCGTACCAATAACTACTAATTGCACTATATGATAATCACTATACTTATCGACCTCAAGATGACCAAACAATAATTCTCCCAACAACTGCATAGACATTTGTTACCCAATCAGTAAAGCGCACTGTCCTGTACCCAAGACACAAATCCTCAAAACAAGATCCTTAGTAATCAAATGGTTTTGATACTTGGTCCCACCTAACACACCTTGTCACCGAGACAAACCACCTGAATCCACACTATCACATCGACACAATTCATAATTTCGTGCTCTCACTGTTTTTGACAAACTAAAACAATTATGGACCTTTGACCCGACATCGTGCTAAAGATGGACTGACTCAGGAGAAATGGTTGGCCAGGCCATCCTCATCATCGTTCCAATCTCAACACCGACGTCGTTCTTGTCCTTAGGTCTAAACCTTGAACACAAACCCATACAGTCCGCAAAACAACTATAAGATCCACTCACTATCCATCCATTTCTATACACAACCCCAATAACTATACAATTGTATAACAGCTCTAAGAATCTCAATCATGCCTTAATCACACAATCATAACAAACTAAAAGCAACACAACACCAAACGTCACAATCATCAACCCGTACAAAATATCTCTAATTTCCTCATAACACCCACACTAGATAAACAACACAGCACTATTCAATTCAATTCTTACCTTTTCAGAACCCACAATACACCAATCTCATGCCTGAAACCTCAAAACTAAAGTCAATCACTCCTATTATTACTGAGTGAAACCACACATTTTCTCTCTAGCTGTTTAACACTCAACAATACCAATACCTGTCCTCAGACATCAATAAAAACACCCAAACACATGACTCACATCTCATCACCTAATTATCCTCAATTGCCGTTCATAACTCATCTCTAGCCATCATCGATAGTACAATACACCAAAAACAAAATCCCTATTCGGTAACCCGTGCCTCATATTCCACCTGTCAAAACCATTCTCAGAATAAGTACTACAAAACCTAAAGACTCCACCTCCCTCCGTGGGAGTGAGTCGACCCATTCAACCAAAACCTCTATCGAGGAACCCCAACAGCATAACAAACCACTCATAGGTTTGTCCACCCACGGACGCACACCACTCCTAAAGGGAGAACAAGACTTACGACAAAGGATTTCCTTGCCAGGACTAGAATAAACGGAAGGGTAACAGAGCCCGCTCTCACAAGAGACCAACAACTCGCACCTTAATGAACTAAACACCCTATCACACACTACTCACCAGTCGTCCAACCATGGATACCCAATCTCACCTGAGATGAAATGAACTCCTTATACCCTAAGGAAAAGAACCAACTTGGAACGTTTACGGAACCACGAACACCAATTAAAGCGACATCATCACTAACGGATCATTAGACATTATCAACACAAAAAAAAAACCTCGTGCACACTTCTCTGCAACACTAGTCAGATTAAAGCACCAACACCCTTAACATACTGACACTAGGAACCATCACCGTCCATCCTACCCAATAATCACCCAATGAAAAACTTTATGAAATACTACGACATAAAATCACCTGTTCCACCTCTACCCTTTGAAGTCTACACTACCTCAATCACTGTATACACAAAATCGGTGACCTCAATCACAACGACCGATTGACTCATCAAAAGATAAGGGTGCCTATCTGGCAATACTACTCTCACTAGTTCTAAAAATTAAGCCATCCACAATCGCCACAACTGGCGCACAATCCCATCACATACCTGTCAGCACATAACAACACTCAAAATTTTCAACCTACATTCGGATCATACCTCGAACATTGTGCTCATCAATGCCAAACTACATCATAACGTCTTCACGGCCATTCATTTAAGACAACGGTTTAAGTCTATGACCCCATCAAACCATCAAACCTCTACCAAGCAATTCTTCTCTCAATAACCCTAACGTAACACCATCACAACAATAAAATGAGTACTACTCTCAGTACTTCCTACAACGACCACTATTTACCACTAGATAAGAACATCCATACGGCAATGCCATGCCAACAAATCCTCAAACAAAAATGAGCATAAAAATCCAAAATGCTCAACACCCAACTGTCTCCTTAAAACCATCAATAACGCAATCAATCACCACTTTCTTCTTGAATACTGGGGTCACCCCTGAACTGACTTACTCTATAATACAGGAACATCCAATATTAATACCCCCATGATCATCCTTCCCAAAATAACTACACAACTCTAATCCCTTGGAAATAACAAGCCTCCATTACCAACTGGTCATTCAAAAGTGATGCTAACTCGACATGAAAACACACATCACTCATGATACCCGACACCATAGTCAACAACCCGTTACAAGAAAATAAGAATCCTACGTGGCACACTACAGAAACAGTCCCTAAAAGGGAAACAAGCATTGCGCTAAATGGTCAATCACATAAACTACACTATACGGTAATTACAAAACAATGGTCTTTCATTGATATCTAACTAGATACTACCTACAACCATGACTACCATCCAACACAATGGAATGTCCACATTGATTTCATCTGAGTTGTGTGCCCGTAGCTCGCTCAGTGTGGTAGCCTTCTGGTGCCACCTGCACACGCTGACACACACCCGCCCACAAGGCCACAAAACAAATAAATCAAATAGAACAAGCCACCAAGCCCAAGAGGTTACTCCTCATCCTGGCTTAACACAATCTGTGACCAACACTCTATGGTCACCAAACAACATCACACTTAATTTCTGCCTTTCTCACTGGAAATCGAAACAAAAAGTGCAACCTATCCATTTGGTCGCCAACCCCAGTCAACTTCTATTCTCATCCCCAAAACAGCAAACTAAGAGACAACTCTCAACCTTGACATCAGTAAACTTCTGGATAAAAATCCAAATACAACCCTTGTTCAACCCGCACCATACCTGAACCTTACAAGTCATACACTACACACCACCTCACATCCTGCGACATCAAATCAACTTTGCATACGTGAAAGAATCCCATGACTTACACACCCTACTCTACTAATCCATCATCCCAAGAGTCCATTCGCTACACCAAGGAAACACAACATAAACCCTTGCCCGTGCAAGAAAATTAGAATTTCCGTCCCGGAAGACACCTAAGATCAAACCTTTTCGCCATTGCCAATCTCTAGGAAAAAAAACTCCTAGTGGAACGACACATTCAGATCAAATCGGACTCAGAAGATTGTGCTATTCACCTCACCCTTGCTCACAATGCTGATACCTACCCCAGTCGAAGGTGATAACTCATAAAACTAATACAACATAAAAACGTGCATGCTACACAATTATGCACTGAAGACATAACACCTACCCGGGGATCACTTAAGTTAGTGCTTCACACTTATAACATATAAGCATGTGATCACATAAACAAATAAGCATATAGGAAATTAAACAGATAAACAAGTAAACAAGTAGGCATGTTGCACAACATTTGAACATTTTAACATGTAGCACATAGGCAAGTAAATGATTTAGCATGCTTCTTCAAATATCTAAGCACGTAACAAATAATCTCATACGTAAGGCAAACAACTTCTCACGCAATCCTACGTAGGCCTCTACCCGTCGTCCTAAGGTTTTCGAACCATAACTCTGATACCAAGTTTGTAACGACCCTAGCTGATGCCAAAAATTTTAAACAAAAATTCAGCATAACCTCCCCTAAAAATGGATCTACCACAACCTGTTTAAAAATGCATTTCTAACCTGTCATGGCTCAAATTCCGAATTCACGGCAATAGTAAATGATAATACACAATCAAATGACCTCGATAATATTTCAAACTAGTATTTCCCTCCCCATTCATCAATAAGGTTTACATGATATCAAACTCACATCCAAAATATCATCTAGTAACATAATTATATTACCTAACCATGGTTTTGAAAAATAAATACACATTACTACACTTTTGGGGCCTTACAAAAATGGGAGATATACAAAAGATACAAAATGAGCTCCAAGTCATCCTTAAGCTTGTGGAAGATCGGCACCCACTACCTCCTTACCGGTTCCTGGAAAATGTTAAATAAAATGGGGTGAGCATAAAGCTCAGTAGAGAGTGCCTAAGACGCACCTCCTGTAGCCCCGTGAATCCAAACAAAGCATAGGCCAATAGGAAGAGGGGTCATGCAAAATAAGGGAAACACATATTAAATTCCAATTCCAAACAATCATATGTAAAATGCCATGAATGCTATGATATGCGTGTCACTCCCCATTTCTCAGAAAACAACCATACTTTTCAAACTGTTAATATAACCCGCCCTTTGGTGACCCCGCAACGACACGAGAGGAGGATTGGCTAGTGTCCCTGACCCTTGGTAACCCCGCGGCGTCATTATGGGACCCAGCTAGCTCAACCACGCTAGGGCGACTCCCTAGTCCCCTCTAGGCTATATTAACCTCTGGCCCTTTGGTACCCCCGCGGCGACCGGGTTTCTCAAAAAAAAACTTTTTCAACAAAGCTTTCCCGAAAATCCCCATTCTTTCATTTTTCAAAAGTCATTTCCATACGTGCAATCCCCAATGATGAATTCGTGAATGCCACATACTTTCAATGTTGTAATATAAGGGATTTTTAACATTTGTCATGCCGTGACAATATCATAAAATGGGGAATTTAATACCACAATTTATCACACATGCTCACAACAATCAACTAAATATTTAGCATTATAATAAGCATGATAAATCAACCATTTATCACAATTTCCATACAATCCAACAAATACACATAGATACATGTTTCACATACACAATTAAATCATTTAAGGAGTAATCCATCTAAATTAAGCATGCTTATCACATAAGTCAACAAACACACATATATAAAATCTTTATATGCACCATTAAATCATTTTTAAAGCAATCAACCTTAAATCAAGCATGTTTGGCCAAAATTCTAGAGGAATAACTCACTAAGGTACAAGAAAAGTGTGAATTAGACACCTTTACCTCTAATTGAGCAAAAACCCCAATTTTCTTCACAAACCCTAGAAATGGGTCCTAAGATTCGAACTCCAAGGAGTGCACTAAATCTGAAATCGCTTGTATGGATGTGTAGAGCTTGACACGAGCTTCGTTTTGCCTCAAACGGCACTCAATTTCGATAAGAAATGAGATCAAGATCTTGCTTCAAAGTTTTGGAAATCAAAATGAAAAGAAAAACAGAGAAGAAGAGGGGAAGAGAGAGGCGCACGGGAGAGGAGGAGAGAAATGAGACCATTTGTGGTCTCTTGGCCTTTAGTTGGTTTAATGGTAGGTCCCACCACCTTTTATTTCTTTTTCCTTTAACTTTTTGCTTAAATTTGAGCCATAACACAACATAATACACATATACATACACACAATTATATATACACCTATGCACATAAATACACAGACATTACACGAGTGTGTTTAACTTCTCATACCAGAAAAGTGAGAATATGCGAGTTACTAGCATAGACAAAAAAAATAAAAAAATAAAAAAATTGTAACATAAAATTGCATTATAGTTGCTTATAATGATAGGCATACTTGAACTATCACTCTGATCTTGTTTGGATCACTTGATGTTGGGAAATTCGTTTTTCTCTTTTTCTAGATGAAGTGGATCAGTTTCCAGCATCTATGTTTCACTCATTTAGTGAATCAGCCAATCTTATATGAGATGATCTCTATAACTTGGCAATATTTGATTGATGGCTTTTTATAGTTTAATGTTTTTCGGATACGGCTTTCCTCAATGCACGAGAGATTTCTACCCATATTAGGTTACTGGCTTCATGTTTCATGTTGTGATTTGGCTTGTGAGATAGATGAACACCACTTTGAGAAAGTGCTAAATTTGTGGATGCAGCAACATCACTTGTGAAAGTTGGGCACTGCATTTAAAGAGTCGCATTCTGAAATAAACAGAAAGTTACATGTATATATTCTTAGCGTACTGCGTGATGATTTATAAAAATCATGCTTGTGAAGATGATAACTTTGTGTGAGTGAGGTAGGTAACAAAGCAATATGGAAGCAGTAGTGATGGCTGTTAGCTCAAGCTTCCAGAGACCAACCTGAATCAATTTTCCTGTGATTGCTGTTCTCTGCACAACCTTCCTCTTCACCGCCTGATGTGACATTCTTTGAATCAAGTGGTTTGGCTATTCAAGGGACCAAATTTGAGTGGTCCCTTGATACATGGTTAGGATAAAAAAAAAATGGTACAATCTTGAGAAGGAAATAAAGGTAGCTTTCTTTTCCTGATGATCATGATGTTACCATTCTGCGTCTCCTAAAGAAGAGGTGGAGGGTTTGAGTTCTAATTGGAACAATGTGGATGTGTGTCTAAAGAAAAGGGGGAAAAAAATAAAGAAATAATTATGAGGATGCAAGAATTCTTTAGTCTCAAAAAGGTTTATCTTTGAACTAAGACTATGAGTCGGTTATAGGGTAATGTGACATGTAAAAAGGAATTATCCTACGTAATACATTCCCATCCTCAAAGAAGGGGTGAAGAGTTCAATCCTCGAGGTGGACAAAGTGTATGCGAGTATTTACCTGATATAAAAAAAATTACCGCGCTCCTTCACCAGCAAAGATCAACTATGATGACTGCAATTGAATATGTCTATACATATAAAATGAGAGCAAAATAAGTAAACAACAGAAGCTTGCAGAGGCACATTTGAATGCATTCTACAAACCGAAAAAAGAAAATCAGAATCTTCATAATTTGGGGCCAAGATAATGTGCTTTTATCTTGCAACTCTGAACAAATAGGACAATTAAAGTAAACTCAATCTGAAATATTTTATCCGGTTAAAACACCCAAGGAAATGATGATGGAAGGAAAGAGGTGCTCCGTGATTTTATTATCACACAGTCACATGGTGAGTAAGTGTGATATTTAAAGGCCAAAATTTAAAAAGCCTTTCCGTCCACTTCGCAAGGGAAAGAGTATGGTGGGCTTGAAGAGATGCTCTCCTTCTCTTCTCCTTTAAACCCAATCAATTTATGTCACTCCCGTTACTCCCTCCCCCTTCTCCTTGCATGTTAGGCTTGTGATTCCTCCTAATGTAAGGTATCGGAGTTACAAAAATAAAAAAATAGAAAATCAAACAAGAATATAAGAACGCCAGATTTACATGGTTCACACAAACTAGGGCTACGTCCAAATTTCACTACCATGGAGAACAAAGAATAATTAGAGGTTCCATACTACCTATCAATTCCAAGATTTATTTATTTATTTATTTATTTTGATAAGTTTCAATTCCGATTTATACCAGATGACATTTTAATATCCCCACTTCAGGGTCTATGCTTTCTTTGTCAGTGTCTCTCTTTGCGATAAATATTGCAATTCTTATCAGAGAAATAACAAGGAACTTTCAGTGGGTGGAATAATACAGTGAGTCAACTTTGAAGTTTCAATTTAGGCGGCTAAGTCAAGTGACTCAAGTTAGTTCCACCATTTTTTCAATCTGTTGGTTACATTCATTGAGCCTCTTCAACATTTTTTTATGAAAATTGAGCCTTGTTATCACTAAAAATCCATGGATATAGCGACTCTTATAATCAGAACAATTGGTAGCTCAATCAATTCCATTGCCACAAAGGTAAGCTATGTTGTGAACTTGGATCGAAGGGTCAATTCCCTTGCATATGAACTGAGGAGACTGAAGGATGCAAGGGATGACTTGCGGCTACGGATTGATCGAGAAGAGTTAGCCGGATTAACATGCACAAACCAAGTCAAAGGATGGCTAGAAAGAGTAGGAGCAGTTGAAGCTGAAGTGAATGTGATCACAGAAGACATTGGACAGCGAAGTCAACGGTTCTGTTGCTGCAATGCCGATTGTTCATCAAGATATAAGCTGAGCAAGAAAGTTTCACAAAAGCTTCGAGACATAATTCAACTCACGAGAGAAGGGAGTTTGGATGTTGTGGCTGATCGATTGCTTCCTGTGGCTGTTGAGGAGATGCCTAGTAGGCCTGCTATTGGCCTTGATGTGATGCTTGAGAAGGTGCGGCGATTTCTTAGTGAGGATGATGTTGGAATCATTGGAATTTATGGTATGGGTGGTGTTGGGAAGACAACACTATTGAAGAACATAAACAATGAGTTTCTAACATCAACCCATGATTTCAATGTGGTGATTTGGGTTTTGGTGTCTAGAGATTTTGTTCATGAGAAGATCCAAGAAGCCATTTGGGTGAGATTGGGCTTGTCTTGGGACGAAAATGAGCGCCAAGAACAGAGAGCTTCAAAAATATATAAGGTCATGAGAAGGAAGAGATTTCTGCTACTGTTAGATGATGTCTGGAAAGGAATAGATCTTGAGGAAATCGGAATTCCCCTTCCCAACAAGCAAAACAAGTGCAAGGTGGTGTTCACGACGCGTTCTATGGATGTGTGTAGTGACATGGATGCTCACTGCAAGCTCAAGGTTGAATTCCTTAAAGAGAAGGAATCGTGGCAACTCTTTGGTGAGAAGATTGGTAGAAGTGAGATTTTGCACTTGCCATTCATAAGGCCTCACGCTGAGACCATCATCAGAAAATGTGGAGGTCTACCCCTTGCTCTAATCACTATTGGAAGGGCTATGGCCAACAAAGAGACTAAAGAGGAGTGGAAGTATGCAATAGAAGTACTCAACAACTCTCCATCAGAACTTAGAGGTATGGAAGATATTTTTACATTGTTGAAATTCAGTTATGACAATTTGGACAATGATATCTTAAGATTGTGCTTGCTGTATTGTTCTCTATACCCTGAAGACTATCCTATTGAGAAAGAAAAGCTTATAGAGTATTGGATTGGTGAAGGGTTGTTAGATAGTTCCGGTGATGGTAATGACCATAATATGGGATATGCTCTCATTGGATCTCTGAAAATTGCATGCTTCTTGGAAACTGGTGAAGAAGAAACACAAGTAAAGATGCATGATGTGGTCCGAAGTTTTGCCCTATGGATAGCATCAGAATGTGGAAAGAATGAGAAGAAGATTTTGATACAGGCGAGTGCAGGACTAACTGAAGCACCCCGTGTTGAACACTGGGAACGAGCACAGAGAGTCTCATTATTGGATAATGGGATCACTGAACTATCAGAAATACCTGTTTGTCCCAATTTATCGACCTTGCTGCTCCAATGGAACAGCAGTTTGAACAAAATATCAAATGGGTTTTTTCAATTTATGCCTACTCTTAGAGTTTTAGATTTGTCATTCACCAGTCTACGAGAGATCCCAGCAAGTATCTGTAAACTAGTCAACCTGCATCATCTTGATTTTTCAGGGACAAAGTTAAGTTCATTGCCAAAAGAGCTAGGAGGTCTGGCAAATTTAAGGCATTTGGATCTACAACGCACACATTATCTTGGAATGGTTCCATGTGAGGCGATATCTGGACTCTCTCAGTTGAGGGTCTTGAATCTCTATTACAGTTATGGAGGTTGGGAAGTGCAAGATTGTGAAGATAAGAATGAACTTAGGTTTGCAGACTTGGAATGCTTGAAATACCTTGCCAATCTAGGGATCACAATTTCCGAATTAACTGCTCTGAAGAGGCTCTCTGGTTTCAACACTCTACTGAAATGTATACAGTATTTATACATCAAGGAGTGTGAAGGCTTACCCTATTTGCAATTATCATCAATTCCTGGTGATGGTGAGAAGCTAAGAAGGCTTAGCATTAACAACTGTTGTGACTTGAAGTGCTTGGGAATTGGTGAGGGGGCTGGGAGAAAATGGCTGCCTAGCCTAGAGGTTCTCGCGTTACATGGGCTTCCCAACTTGATTACGGTGTGGAAGAATCCAGTGACTAGAGGGTGCCTTCAAAATCTTCGCTCTATAAGCATTTGGTATTGTGACAAGTTGAAGAATGTTTCCTGGATTTCAAGACTTCCAAAGCTCGAAATGGTTTACTTGTTTTACTGCAATGAAATGGAAGAAGTGATAAGTGGGGATGAAGTGGTAGAGGAAGACACTGTGGCATTTCCAAACCTCAAAACCATGTCAATCCGAGACTTGCCAGAATTAAGGAGTATCTCCCAAAAGGCGATGGCTTTTCCTTCCTTGCAGCGAATTGCTGTGATTGATTGTCCAAAGTTGACGAAGCTGCCACTGAAAGCTTCTAATGCCCCAACACAACCGACAGTGTATGGCAGCAAGGAATGGTGGGATACATTGGACTGGGATGACACGTCGCTGCAAACTTTTCCCCACTTCATGGCAACCTGATGAGCATGTACCTGGAATTCTAGGTATGCTTTGACAATGGGAACTTTGTTCTCGCTTTAGAGGCTTAATATTCATATCATCGCTCTCTAACATCGTAGTGTACCACTCGCTCTTCTGAGAAACTTTCATTTAAGTAAAAAAAAAAACTGCACATATTTCTCCATAAAGTTGATCTAGCTCTAGCTCAAACATCAAGTCCGTGACTACTCAAGGTTTTTGAGCTATAGAGCAGTATGCTATTATAGCGGCAATGGTAGAAAGAAATCTATCAGAAGACAACGTGACTGTTATGATATTTGCATTTTACTACTGCTCAAATCTATCAAAGTATCAATGGTACAAATAAAACATCTGGGAAATATTAGAACGGAAAAATGCTATACAAATCGATAGGACTCCTCCATATATATATATATATATTTGTAAAGCAATTTCCTACCGATAGAGAATGTGAGAAAGATTCTTATAACTCACCTTATCAAGTCTATTTAGTAAAAGGGACCAATTGGATTATTGAACTTTGTCTTTGAATGTTGACAAGGTGAAAGTTTTATCACTAAGTTGATGATACTGAAAGAGTAGTCACTAGAGAGGGGCTCAGCTGATCGGTATACATGAAGCTAGAATCAATTCCATGTTACTTTTGCTTTGACAAAATGATCAGGCTGGCATTCAGTAACAGCAAGAACTTGTAAGCATTCAAAAAGAGAAACGTCCTTCTCGTCTCACTCAACCCATTTAGCATGTTCCCTTTACAATGAAATCCACCATTTCTCATCTCACTCAACCCATTCCTCTGTCCTGGGTTCCAATCTCTAATCTTTTGATTGTTGTATACTCCAAACTCCCAACCTTAAACAACAACAAACTGTTCACAACGTGGTTGATGCACTATTGGGCTAATTCAAGGTTCGAATACATTGTAAGCTTTATCACAATATGTTTTTTCACAAACAAAACGTTTCATAATCATATATGAAGTAGGAAATTTTGGGTGATAGAAAATTCAAGCATAGCAAAAGTTATTTGACAGTACCAAAATAGAGAGCATTGTGGAGTTATTTGATAAGAGAAAAAAATTGAATTGTTTAATTTCATATAAAACAAAAATAAAAACCAAAAAAATGATTAGGATGGAGAATGTTTTACCAAATTTGATTGCTTGGTAAGCAAACAAATGATACATTTAAGAGTTTTAGAATGTACAATTCTAAAGTATTCTCCAAATTATATTGTTTTAGAGAATTCTAAAATTAGGTTCTAGAATGTTTCAAAAAATATATTAAAGGATATTTACAAGTTTACTATACAACAAGTATCCTAACGAACGCTAATGTAGAGTATTCTAAAATGTCTTGCTACCCAGACTTTTCATATCATCATTCTGTTAGGAAACGTGCTAGTTTTAAAAACTTTTCGAGGGATTTTATGTAATGTTTTTAACTTTATATATATATATATATGTATATATATATATGTATATATATATGTTAAAGTTAAAAAAAATGTTATTCACCTGTGGGGCCCACATGATTTATAAGCCAATATAATGATTTATTTCTTCTTCTCTGCGTATCAGTTTCTCTCTCATTCCAGAAGCTCTCTGGGCTTTTTTTTTTTTCTTTTTATGGTTTCAAGCTTCAAGGCTTAATTTCTCTCTCATCTCTTATCGGATTAAGGTGCCGTTTGAGGCAAAACGAAGCCCACGACGAGCTCTACGCATCCATACGAACAATTCCAGATTTGGTGCCCTTCTTGGAGTTCGAAATTCAAGACCCATTTTAAGGGTTTTGTGCAATCTTGAGGTAGGGGCCCTTAACTCATGATGTTCTTGCTCTTTTGTGAATTATACCTCCTAAATTGTTGAAAAGTATGCTTATTTTTGAATTAATTGTATTAAAGATGATATAAGTATTATATGTAAGGTTATGATTAAATGTGTTACTTGAGTTGTATGAGAACATGTTTATTTGACTAATTTTCTTGTCTGATAAATTGATTTACCATGCTTATATTGTTGTAAAACTTGCTAGAATGATATGGAATGGAATGTGTAATTTCCCTAGAGTACTTGTAATGTATGCACAATTGTATAATGTGAAAGCCTTCACTTCCATGGCATTAAGAACATGATGTACATGCATACCATGAGACATGATTGGGAAGATTGTTTTTGAAATGAAAATAGGGAGTTTTGGGGAAAAGTATTTTGATGAAAGTGTTTTTGGAAAACCCGGTCGCCGCGGGGATACCAAAGGGCCGGAGTGTTAATATAGCCTAGAGGGGACTAGGGAGTCGCCCTAGCGTGGTTGAGCTAGCTGGGCCCCATAATGACGCCGCGGGGTTACCAAGGGTCAGGGACACTAGCCAATCCTCCTCTCGTGTCGCTGCGGGGTCACCAAAGGGCGGGTTATATTAACAGTTTGAAAGTGATGGATTTTAAATGTGAAAACGGGGAGCGACATCGGCATGCATTCGCATTTCATGGCATTGCATTGTTGTACTTGAGTTTGATTGGAATGTTATATTATCCCGATATTGTATGATCCCCATTCCCATTGACCTATTCTATGTTTGGATTCACGGGGACACAAGATGCGTGTCTTAAGTGTCACCTACTGAGCATATAGCTCACCCTGCATACTTATTATATTTTTCAGGTCATGGCAAAGAAACGGCGGATGACAATCCTCCGCAAACTTGAAAGTTGTTAGAAGGTTGTTTGCTATTTTGTATTTTGACCATTCTATGTATATTCATAGTTGTAGAAATGTAACTAAGTTTGTAGTCATGGCCTTGTAATTTAAGAACGAACTTATCTTTTGTTTAATGTAAATGAAACTAATGGATCATGGTATATATTTCCATGTAATTGTATCATGTAACGTTGTAAGACATGGACTTTAGATCTTAACCATGTATTTTGGGACTGTAATTATGATAATTTGGATTAATTGGTGTGTGCATGTTCTACCATGAGAAGAACTATGTTGAGGTGTAATGACTGGGATGCTGGAGTATATTTTTTTGTTTTGTGTATTGGGACAGGTTGTTGAAGGACCACTTTTAGGGGAGGTCATGCCGAAATTTTTGTATAAATGGTTTTAGTTTAGGGTCGTTACAAATTTGGTATCAGAGCGATGGTTCGATTACCATTAGGACGACGGGTAGAGGCTTGCCTAGGGTTGTCTGGGAAGTCATTTGCATTGTTATTTCCTTGTTTGGAAAAGTGTTTTGCTATGTGAAAAAACATGTTTAACTGCTTACTTGCTTACGTGCTTATGTGTTTATATGCTTACATTAATGTGTTCATTGCATAGTATTACATGCTAAATGTTTGTACAGTATGTTTTTGCATTGGGTTGTTCACGGTTGGACGGATGTGACAGAGGATCATTTGAAGATCATCCTAGCTACTTATAATTTTGCTAAGGATGCTAAATTATGGTGGAAGTCGGTTACGAGTCGATACAAGATAGAAGAGATGAGTTGGGTCAAGTTCAAGGAATTGTTTTATGAAAAGTACTTTCCGCTTTCCAAAAGATAGGAGTTACAAGACCAGTTTCATAACCTTATCCAAGGGAGCATGTCAGTGGCAGAATATGAAAACAAGTTCACTTCACTTTCTCGCTTTGCTCCAGAAATGGTGAGAGATGAAGTTAACAAGACTCGGAAGTTTGTTTCTGGTCTTAATGATTGGATGAGGCCGTTGATCATAGCACAGTTCATTAAGGTTTACTCTGAAGCAGTGGAAAGGGCTTTAATGCTGAAGGCTGATAATAAAGAGAAGGATGCAAGAAGAGAGCAGTTGAAGCAAAAGAGGGGTGCAGGGCCATCTTCAGAAGGATCTTCTTGGAAAAGGAACAGGGGCGGTCCATCTCAGTTTCAGGGACAGCAGTCTGTACGATCTGCTCCTACCACTCCGTTGCCAGCTGGGTCTAATAGAAGTGCAGTTGTTTACTTTCAATGTCAGCAGCCTGGGCATTACAAGTCCAGTTGTCCCATGAGATTGACTTCAGTTTCTTCAGTTCCGAAGGCTTGTTATGGGTGTGGCCAGCAGGGCCATTTGATTCGGGACTGTCCGAGTCAGGGAGCAGGCACCACTAGTGGCAGAGGGTCACGGCAGAGGCCGTTACAGTCGGCTATGGTTCAATCAAGTTTCAGACCACCGCCGCCACCACCACAGCCTGCCTTGTCTTCTCAGGGTTCACGACCAGCTAGGAGGGATACTCCTACTATGTCGGCACAACAGTCTGGTGTTCAGATTAGTAGTTTACAGGCACAGACACCGCAGGGGCGTGTCTTTGCCTTTGCACCGACTGATGCATCTCCTGGATCTTTAATTCTCCGAGGTATATTTCCAGTGTTTGGTTCTTGGGCCTGTGTTTTGTTTGATTCTGGTGCATCTCATTCTTTCATTTCATCATCATTTGCACTTGCATCGGGGTTAGAGGTCAGTTTTATGGATCGGGCGTTGTGTGTTGATACGCCAGTTGGAGTTTTAGTGTCTTTGAGCCGAGTCGTGAGGGACTGTTCCATTGTGATAGCCGGGCGGACTTTTGTGTTTGACCTTATCCTCCTGGAGATGACTAGCTTTGATGTCATTCTCGGGATGGATTGATTAGCTTCTTTTCATGCCACGATCGACTGTTTCAGAGGAAGGGTTACAGTTTGTACTCCCGAGGGAGACTGTTTCTTTTTCGTGGGAGATCGAAGTGATTCCCACATTTCATCGTTTTATGGAATTCGTGGACAGAGTCGTGGTGATTACTTTTTGGCTAGTCTTATAGCCGAAGAGGATGATGTTGTGGAAGAATATTATCCTGCAGTTGTTCGTGATTTTCTGGATGTGTTTCCGGAGGATTTGACAGAATTGCCTCTACATCGAGAAGTGGAGTTCTCTATTGAGTTAATGCCAGGTACCGCGCCGATTTCTATGGCACCGTATCATATGGCACCAGTTGAATTGGAGGAATTAAAAAGACAGCTTGATGATTTGAGGATGAAAGGTTTCGTCCGACCGAGTGTGTCACCATGGGGCGCACCGGTCTTGTTTGCTAAGAAGAAAGATGGTTCTTTAAGATTGTGCATCAATTATCGGAAATTGAATCGCGCCACCATCAAGAACAATTATCCTTTGCCAAGGATAGATGATTTATTTGATCAGTTGAGGGGAGCCAGTTGTTTCTACAAGATTGACTTGAGATCTGGCTATTATCAGTTGCGGGTTAGGGATGAGGATATCGCAAAGACAGCATTCCGTACACGGTATGGACACTATGAGTTCCTTGTTATGCCTTTTGGCTTGACTAATGCTCCAACGGCATTCATAGACTTAATGAACCGCGTCTTTCACGATTACTTGGACCAGTTTGTGGTAGTTTTCGTGGATGACATTCTTGTGTATTCACGATCTCGGGAGGAACACGAGATCCATTTAAGTATTGTTTTACAGATTTTGCGGGAGCACCGGTTATATGCCAAATATGAGAAATGTAAGTTTTCGCTACAAGAGGTGAAGTTTTTGGGACATGTTGTTTCAAAAGGCGGAGTGTCAGTTGATCCATCAAAGATTGAAGCTGTTTTGAATTAGGAGCAACCCAAGAATGTGTTTGAGATCTGTAGTTTTCTTGGTCTAGCGGGTTACTACCGGAGATTTGTGAAAGATTTCTCCCGTTTGGCAGCGTCTATAACCCGTTTAACCCGAAAAGGGATTAAGTTTGCATGGAATGAAGCCTGTGAGTCATCTTTCCAGGAATTGAAGACAAGATTGACTACGGCTCCAGTGTTGGTGATACCTGAGCGTGGCTTGGGTTATGTGATCTATTGTGATGCTTCACGTGATGGTTTAGGGTGTGTGTTGATGCAGGATAGTAGAGTAGTGGCTTATGGGTCTCGACAGTTGAAGACTCACGAGTACAACTACCCTACTCATGATTTGGAGTTGGCGGCAGTTATGTTTGCTTTGAAGTGTTGGAGACACTACTTGTATGGTGAGAGATTCGAGGTGTACTCGGATCATAAAAGTTTCAAGTACCTTTTCTCCCAAAAGGACTTAAACAATAGACAGAGAAGATGGGTTGAATTCTTGGAAGATTATAATTTTGACTTGCAGTATTATCCGGGCAAGGCAAATGTGGTAGCAGATGCCTTAAGCCGAAAATCTCGTGGAACTTTGGCCTGTCTGGTTATTCGGAAGTGGAAGATGCTTAAGGATTTGGCAGAGATGGGATTGTATTGTTTTGATGATGATGTTGACAGCAAGTCGGCATTCTTGTTTAGTCTTATGGCTCAGCCTACTCTTGTTGTACGAGTGATTGAGTCACAGAAACAGGACCCGGATTTAGATGCCATTCACGCTTTGATCTCCAGTGGTGAGACAGTGAAAGATTGGGCTTTGTATACAGATGGGGGTCTACGGTTCAGGGGTTTGTTGGTGGTTCCTACTGTTTGTCGTGAGGACGTCTTACGAGAGTTTCACACTTCCTACTTTGCAGTTCATCCAGGTGGTACCAAGATGTATCACAATTTGAGACGTCAGTATTGGTGGAACGGGATGAAAAAAGATGTTGCACAGTTTGTGGCTAGATGCCTTACCTGTCAGCAGGTGAAGGCCGAGCATCAGAGACCAGCCGGTTTGTTGCAACCATTACCTGTAACGCAATGGAAATGGGAGCATATTGCTATGGATTTTGTGACAGGTCTTCCAATGTCACGAAGGGGCAATGAGTCCGTATGGGTCATCATTGACAGATTGACCAAGACGGCTCACTTTTTGCCTATTAAGGCAACAGATGATACAGAGAAGCTTGGTGTTCTTTATGTGAAGGAGATTGTAAGGTTGCATGGAGTTCCAGTAACCATTGTTTCAGATAGGGATGCTAAGTTCACTTCGAAGGTTTGGGAAGGACTTCAAGCAGCGTTTGGCTCAGCGTTGCACCGGAGTACGGCATTCCATCCACAGACTGACGGTCAGTCGGAGCGTACTATCCAGATTTTGGAGGATATGCTTCGGGCATGTGTGCTTGACTTGGGTGGTAGTTGGGAGGATCACCTTCCACTTATTGAATTTGCCTACAACAACAGTTATCAGGCAAGCATTCAGATGGCTCCATTTGAGGCGTTGTATGGTAGACCTTGTAGGTCTCATGTTTGTTGGACTGAGGTAGGCGAGACAGCCGCCTTAGGACCTGACATTGTACTCGAGACTACTGAGAAGATTAAGTTGATAAGACAGAGGTTACTTACAGCTCAAAGCCGACAGAAGAGTTATGCGGATAAGCGGAGACGATCGTTATCCTTTGAGGTAGGAGACCACGTTTTTCTTCGGGTTTCTCCACGGAAGGGATTGATGAGATTCGGGAAAAGTGGCAAGTTGTCTCCATGATTCATTGGACCATTTGAGATTTTGGACCGTGTAGGAGAGGTTGCCTACAGACTTGCTTTGCCACCACAGTTGGATAGGGTCCACAATGTTTTTCATGTATCGATGTTACGGAAGTACGAGCCAGATCCATCTCACATTTTAAGTTGGGTTGATGTAGACATTGATGAGGATGTTTCCTACGAGGAAGGACCAGTTCAGATTCTTGACACACAACAAAAGGTGTTGAGGAACAAGACGATACCAATGGTGAAAGTCCTTTGGAGACACCACAGAGTCGAGGAGGCTACTTGGGAGCTCGAACAGGAGGTTCGCTCCAAGTATCCAGAGTTGTTTTCTTCTCCAGGTATGTCTTGATTTCGGGGACGAAATCTTTTAAAGTTAAGGAGAATGTAATGTTTTTAACTTTATATATATGTATGCATGTATATATGTTAAAGTTAAAAAAAATGTTATTCACCTGTGGGGCCCACATGATTTATAAGCCGATATAATGATTTATTTCTTCTTTTCTGCGTATCAGTTTCTCTCTCATTCCAGAAGCTCTCTGGGCTTTTTTTTTTCTTTTTCTGGTTTCAAGCTTCAAGGCTTAATTTCTCTCTCATCTCTAATCGGATTAAGGTGCCGTTTGAGGCAAAACGAAGCCCACGACGAGCTCTACGCATCCATACGAACAATTCCAGATTTGGTGCCCTTCTTGGAGTTCGAAATTCAAGACCCATTTTAAGGGTTTTGTGCAATCTTGAGGTAGGGGCTCTTAACTCATGATGTTCTTGCTCTTTTGTGAATTATACCTCCTAAATTGTTGAAAAGCATGCTTATTTTTGAATTAATTGTATTAAGGATGATGTAAGTGTTATATGTGAGGTTATGATTAAATGTGTTACTTGAGTTGTATGAGAACATGTTTATTTGCTAATTTCCTTGTCTGATAAATTGATTTACCATGCTTATATTGTTGTAAAACTTGCTAGAATGATATGGGATGGCATGTGTAATTTCCCTAGAGTACTTGTAATGTATGCACAATTGTATAATGTGAAAGCCTTCACTTCCATGGCATTAAGAACATGATGTACATGCATACCATGAGACATGATTGGGAAGATTGTTTTTGAAATGAAAATAGGGAGTTTTGGGGAAAAGTATTTTGATGAAAGTGTTTTTGGAAAACCCGGTCGCCGCGGGGGTACCAAAAGGCCGGAGTGTTAATATAGCCTAGAGGGGACTAGGGAGTCGCCCTAGCGTGGTTGAGCTAGCTGGGCCCCATAATGACGCCGCGGGGTTACCAAGGGTCAGGGACACTAGCCAATCCTCCTCTCGTGTCGCTGCGGGGTCACCAAAGGGCGGGTTATATTAACAGTTTGAAAGTGATGGATTTTAAATGTGAAACGGGGAGCGACATCGGCATGCATTCGCATTTCATGGCATTGCATTGTTGTACTTGAGTTTGATTGGAATGTTATATTATCCCGATATTGTATGATCCCCATTTCCATTGACCTATTCTATGTCTGGATTCACGGGGACACAAGATGCGTGTCTTAAGTGTCACCTACTAAGCATATAGCTCACCCTGCATACTTATTATTTTTTTCAGGTCATGGCAAAGAAACGGCGGATGAAAATCCTCCGCAAACTTGAAAGTTGTTAGAAGGTTGTTTGCTGTTTTGTATTTTGACCATTCTATGTATATTCATAGTTGTGGAAATGTAACTAAGTTAGTAGTCATGGCCTTGTAATTTAAGAACGAACTTATCTTTTGTTTAATGTAAATGAAACTAATGGAATCATGGTATATATTTTCATGTAATTGTATCATGTAACGTTGTAAGACATGGATTTTAGATCTTAACCATGTATTTTGGGACGGTAATTATGATAATTTGGATTAATTGGTGTGTGCATGTTCTACCATGAGAGAAAGTATGTTGAGGTGTAATGAATGGGATGCTGGAGTATATTTTTTTGTTTTGTTTATTGGGACAGGTTGTTGAAGGACCACTTTTAGGGAAGGTCATGCCGAAATTTTTGTATAAATGATTTTAGTTTAGGGTCGTTACATTTTAATTCATAGATCTTGATTCATCACATAGAGACAAGTTTTATGCAAAAATAAAACATGATATATCATTCAATTAAAAGATTGAATACTTACATCAAGGTTTGAGTAAACCTTAGATCTCTCCTCTAAAGTGAATGTTCTCACTTATTGTAGATCCCTTTTGTTAGACACCTTTTCCATGGATCTCCATCTTCTTGGTAATGGTCTTGCCTTTAGGAATCACTCATAAGCCTCCATGAATGACCTTGGAAAATTAGGCTTGTGGGAGCCTCCATTAGATGCGAACACTAACCCTAATTTTCTAAAGAGAGAAAATTTATTCCTTTTTCCTTCTTCCAAAAATCACCCCTAAAATATTTATAGACCATGTATATTTATAAGCAACATAAAGGTAAAGAAAATGAAACAACAAATCCTTCTCAATCTCTAATTCACATGTCTCAAATCTAATATGATTCCAATATCAAGTTGGGCTATGAGTAAGAATCCATTGGGCCTATTATTTTATTGGCTACAATGAATTAATAATTGGCCCGGTCCATGGACCCAATTTAATTAATTCATAAATTAATTTCTACTCCACTAAAAGAAATTAATTGAACTCCAATTAAATAATAAATAACCACTAAGTCAATATTGCACTTTGACCCTTCTATGCATAATTAGTTATCGGATAAATAAAGCCATCAATCCGACTACTTAATTAATATATTTATTTTGGTACCATTGATTATTTCTGGCTTGATCACAATAAAACATTTGTTTGACAAAAAATAATAATTTAAATAAATAAATATATAATAAATCATTTTGTCTAAAAACATACGAAGGCCTTCGAATTTACTTTGTGATCAACCATAATCAATACAAAATAAATACAAGTAGCAATGATGCAAATATTGAAAATATAACCCTCTAACTATTAATTATATAACTACCCAAAGTGTCGGTCTAAGGATCCCGAAGAATCCGCCGAACAAATCAAAGTAATTATTAATTAACAAAAGAATCTATACTTTTCTCATGCTTAAGAGTCAAATGTCATGACGGTAATAGAGAGTAATTGCATACGACGGCTCTTGCAATATATCTCAACCTAACGCGGATCCAGTTCAAATCTTAATTAATTATGAGTCCATCCATAATTACCGACTATGAACCATTTATGATTACTATTTATATATCATGCATTGATTGTCATCACATACATATATATAAATATCTCTTGTAATCAAATGGACACTATCAATTCTATAATGAATCGAAATATAATACATTGAATTCACCAATTGCATAAAACATAAATATTTCAGAAACGTCAGGAACATATGTCACTTTAATCCAAACAGGAATTTGCTATGCCAGGGCATATAAATCCCAACAGCTCCCACTTGCCCTCATAGCCAATTCAAATT